AACTACCTACTACTACCTTCTACTACCTTCTACTACCTTCTACTACCTACTACTACCTACTACTACCTACTACTACCTACTACTACCTACTACTACCTACTACTACTACTACTACTACTACTCCTACTCCTACTCCTACTCCTACCCCTACCCCTACTCCTACTCCTACTCCTACTCCTACAATTATTAGAATTCCTTGTGCTATCGCCAGGGTTGTGTTTCTAGCCTTGCTAATATTTCTAATGCTTCCAATTTCCTAGTACTACTTTTACTAGTATTAGTGCTGCTAGAATGTCTAGTACTACTACAACCTTGGTACAGTTAACACTAGCACTGACAAGTATGAAGAGTACTACAGATACATTATATATCATATCTACTTGAACTGCTGTGTTTAGCCTTAGCGATACCCTTTGTAAATCAATATTGCACAATGATGGTAAAATCGCTATGAAACTGTGGTTGGCGATGGGACCTTTCCAAATTATGTTGATGTCTTTCATGTACAAGGGGTTTTGACAGCCGCACATATGTATAACTGTATATGTATGCGTCCAAGGTTACATGTCTGTGCATCCCTATAGATGATGTAGATGATATCCATCCCTAGGCCCTGGGTATTTTACATTTACGTAATTTTTCCACTCATTTTTATAAATATATATATATATTGCTCCAATATATATAAATGTAATGTTATGTTATGTTATGTTTTGTGATGCCAGGTTGTGCTATGTTATGTTTTGTTTTGCATGTATATAATGTACGTATGCATGCATGCATGTAATGTAATGTAATTTAATGTAATGCAATGTACAGTAATGTAATGTTTGTATGTATGCATATGTATGTATGTATGGATGGATGTATGTATGTATGTATGGATGTATGTATGTATGTATGGATGTATGTTTGTATGTATGTATGTTTGTATGTATGTATGTTTGTATGTATGTATGGTAATGTATGGTAATCTATGGTAATCTGTGGTAATGTATGTATGTATGTTTGTATGTATGTATGTCTGTATGTATGTATGCATGCATGTTTGTATGTATGTATAGTATGTATGGTATGGTATGGTATGGCATGGTATGGTATGGTCTGGTCTGGTATGGTATGGTATGGTATGTATGTGTGTGTGTATGTATGTGTATTTATGTATGTATGTATGTATGTATGCATGCATGCATGTATGTATGTATGTGTGTGTATGTATGTGTGCATGTAATGTAATGTAATGTAACGTAACGTAACGTAATGTAATATAATGTAATGTAATGTAATGTATGTATGTATGGTAACGTTGGCAATGATTGTATGTATGTATGTATGTATGTCTGTATGTATGCATGTATGTATGTATGCATGTATGTATGTATGTGTTTAGTAATGTATGTATGTAATGTAATGTAATGTAATGCAATGTAGTGTAATGTAATGTAATGTAATGCAATGTAATGTAATGTAATGTATGTATGTATGTAATCGTAATGGAATGTATTGTAATGTAATGAAATGTAATTTAATGTAATGTATGTATGTATGTATTAACGTAATGTAATCTTATCTAATGTGATGCAATGCACTGTAACCTAATGTAATGTTATTTATTGTGTGTATGTATGTCTGTATGTACTTATGTATGTATGTGCACATATGAAGTTGAGTAGGTTATTTTTATCCCCAGGCTGGCATTGTGGCTCCATCACCAAATCCATGACCGCCACTTTGGCTGCCGTGCTCCGGGAGAAGGGCTTGCTGCCGTCAGAGGTGACTGTGGCCCAAGCCTTGTACCTCGGCTCTCATTGACTCATGCTTGACCGTGACCCAAGCCATGGATTTCATGGGATTTTCAGGCGATTTTCAGGTGATTTGTGTGTGTGATTTTGAGGTGATGTTCAGGTGATCTTCGTGTGATTTTCATGTCTTTCTCAGGTGATTTTCATGGGATTTTCATGTGATTTTCACATGGTTTTCAGGTGATGTTCATTTGATTTTCGTGGGATTAGGGATTTTCAGGTGATTTTCAGGTGATTTATCAGGATTTACCCTTGGGTAAACGTTATAGATATGGAAAAGCCATGGGGAAACCCCCGCAAAATCGAATACATTGTTGATTTTCCGCATGTTAGTTTCCCCATTGGGCAATGGAATGCGATGGAGATATTTTATGGGATGATTATGGGATATATTGGGATTACTAATTATGGGATGTATTGGGATGATTTTGGCTACTTAGGACATCCCCTGTAAATGGAGGGTTTTATGGGAACATTATCTATACATGGTGGGTTTTCAATTGCCATGTTTGATGACCGGAGGGCATACCCTCGAAGGAGTTATACTGTTATACTACCTGGTTATTGTGAATATTGATCATAACCCATATTATAGTCAGGAGATAGGAGACGGCTTTGTGAGTGGCTCAAATGTTGCTGTTACTGTTTCACTTTTCCATGGCATCTATATGGATATGGCCATATTGTAACTCTTACGGAAGGTTCAATAGTTAGGCCCCTTTCTGAACTCTTCAACTGGATTGTGCACTAAGAATTCTTAATCATGCTCGAGGGTTTGTGTGTGTTACCCGTGACGAATGGGAGTGCCACATCCAAATTTGATGCATATCGTCACTGGCAGGATTTTCCATACAGCTTAAATTCTTGCTAATGTGCACACATTATGTATATATATATATATGCATATGCACACATGCATTTTTGTCGACGCCAAAGCTTCTATAGCTCAAAAGACCTGTTTCTCATATAGAAAGTTCATTAACTACAGTTATGGTCCGTCACCAGTCATGAGTCAGTTACACCCCCATTTATAACCGTCAATATCCCCATTTTTTTAACTTACCAACTTTATTGAAAAAATATGGCCCTTTACCAGTTAAAGGTCAAGTATAACCCCATCTCAAAAAGATAACACCTATTTTTCAAACCATACACATACCTGGTTTTCGGTAGCCCTGGCTGAGGACCTCAGATTCCTTGCTGCGACAGCTTTCCGCAGAGAGTGGCTTTGCGCATGTGACCTTGGACCAGCTGTTGACTCACCGGGGCGGTGCCTGGGAAGCGCCTTGGCGCCAGCGATGGCAGCAAGTGGCTTGCCATGATGTTTTTGTTTGTTGACGCACACACACACACACGCGCATAGATAAATATATATAATTACATACAATTAATTTATGATCAATTAACAAATATTTGGATATAATATATATATATATATACATATCTAGAGAGAGAGAGAGTCATGGGTATTTATTGGGTATCAAAAATGGTTCGAACTTTCTTGTATGTTGCCCACGTTCAATACCAAAAACTGGTACCATCTCAGTTTCGGGTAACGCGAATTACTCCTGGGATGATTCCCGCGTGGTTCCATAACTTCAGTTGGATCCCCCACATAGTTCGTCCATATCTTGTGTGCATGAGTATGTATGCATAAGCTATTAGTCACACACACAGATAAATATATATATATATATACATACGCACTCTTGAAAACACAATTTCATATCATATAGCGTAACCGCAATATGTGATATTTACATATAGTTATAATATATATATATGTGTGTATATATACTTATATATATATGTATTTATCTCAATACGGATCTGCAGCACTACAACTTAAATCTATCGGCGCCGAGTGGCACTGAGGAACGCGACCCTGAAGTTTGGTCCTACGCCTGGCAGCTGGCCCTGGCCTCAGAGGCGGCTTCGTACCGCGAGCAGCGGCGCTTGTACATCGCGCGGTTGTTGGAGCGGATCGAACCAAGGGAGATTGGCACCTGGGTGGATCTATGGCGATTGAATGATGAAATACCATGGTTTTATAAAGTTGATGTATAAAGTTGGGTATGGATTCCATGGATCAAAGCCATTAATCCCAAATTTGAGAGGGCGTGCAGCAAGGTCCAGGATTTGGACACATACCCATATTCTTGTAGCAGCTACCATATCCAGACTGGCAGGAGTCCACCCACATCATCAACGGGAATTTCAGCAGCCCAAAATGGATGTACTGTAACTATATATACATATTCCATATATTATAAGGCCATACTTTGCAGGGATATTCCCATGATATTCCCTTATAAATTGCTAAGCCCCTATTATGCTTAACTTACCCCCTGTTTGCTGGGCAGGGGGGGGGCCTATGTAGTGGTGCAACTGGTGGTGCGTAGTCTGGACGATCCAAGTTCAAACTAAAAACCGAACATCATCCCCGTCGCAAACATTTTAATACTAATGGTCCCGAGACCCAACATATCCAGAAAAACATTTGTTCCTCTCTGACGCCAATTGATTTCCTGGGTGTTGATTCTAATGAAAAAAGGCCATAATTTTATTGTGTTGTCAAAGCAAACACGTTTTCATTTGTCCAAAGATCGCATTTCCATGCGAAAATCACCATTCAGATTCACGCGGTCCCATTGCACTTTCCCATCTGGTTACAATATAGGTTCCGACGCGGCTCCGAGGCGGCTCCGACGGAACCGCGTCGGAACCGCGTCGGAACCGAGTCGGAACCGAGTCGGAACCGAGTCGGGACCGAGTCGGAACCGAGTCGGAAACGCGTCGGAACCGCGTCGGAACTGCGTCGGAACTGAGTCGGAACCGAGTCGGAACCGAGTCGGAACCGAGGCGGAACCGCGTCGGAACCGCGTCGGAACCGCGTCGGAACCGAGTCGGAACCGAGTCGGAACCGAGTCGGAGCCGAGTTGGAGCCGAGTCGGAACCGAGTCGGAACCGAGTCGGAACCGCGTCGGAACCGAGTCGGAACCGAGTCGGAACTGAGTCGGAACCGCGTCGGGAACGTGTTGGCCCCAGAAGGGGCCTCTATAATGCTTAGTAAACCTATACACTACTTGTGCATGGGGCGGTGTCAAACAGGACGCGGGGCAAGTAATGACCGCAGCAAAGTCGCCCCATTAGTATACTAGCAGATGTTTGGGCGGGCGAAGAAAACGAATCGGGCATTCCATCAGGCTCCCCGTTCCTGAGCCCCGAGAGCACCACCAAATGCCGACATAACACAGGCCACCTATAAGCATACCTAGACCTTCCTGAGGCTATAATACTAGCCCGAAGCTGTTCAGGCAACTAAGTTGCCCGATTCAGATATTCTCGCCTGCTTCATGAATTCTCGCCCGAAGGCGTTTTTTGGGTAACACATCCATAGCTCAAAATTGATGATGTTTGAATACGAAGATGGTTGCAAAGCAACAATGAAAAAGAACGCATGCAGTATCCATCACCAGTCCAATCTATCACTATGAAACAGATCCTTCTAACTCAATCTTTGGGATGTTCGTGGGTTTGATGCATCCACAACTTGGTCTTTTTCTTCTTCGTCTTCGCCGATGCCGTGGCCAAGTCTGAAGAAACCAGGCCAGCTGAGAGTGCAGTGGGCACGGGACTGGGCAATGGCAGCTTCTTTTGAAGTAAGGATGGTTGGTAAAAACTAAGCATAAGATTCAAACCACCAAAAGCCATGTAACGAATTAGGTATTCTACACTATGGCTATTTCTTTTAATTATTGCTGTTGCTTCTATCTGTGATGCTACCTCCTTGCCAGTTTTCTTCCCACGCGTTTTGCAAATCCAATTGGCGTTTTCTTCGTCCAAACCCTTTCAGGGTTTAGTTTCCGCCTCTTGTCCAAAAGCACCCTGACCTTGACAAAGTATCGTTGGATCACCCGTAGGTGTACCAATCTAAAGCCAACCCTTCGGCTTAGCCGACTGACTCTTCCTATGAAATCTTCACTCATTTCGCATCCAAAACATTGTGGGTTCAAAATCAGTGTTGCCCCTTTTTGTAACTCAGACTTCAACTCGTGTCCAATGTGGTGGAGCGAGTGTTGCTTGGGCTTCTGCACAAATGCTCGTACCTGTAGACGTAGTGCGTCCCTTGCAAGCGCTGTGTAACCACGCAGGGTTGTCATGATTTTGTAGTACAGCATGTGGGCACAATGCCGTTCTAGCCATAGCCTGTGACTATGTACCATGCGAATCCCAAGGGCAGCATCGACTACCTGCAACATGCGTTTCAGTAGTTGTTCGTACCCAGCAACATTTGGATAGTTGATGTTCACATGTAGTGTGTGCTGCAACCACTGCAACAACAACACACTGTCGCTACCCTTGGAGTTTGCCCAAGGAGCAGACAAAAGGCTTTTCATGTTGAAATACCTCATACTGAATGAACGGAGACCAGGTGACTTTGACAACGTAGTACACCACAGGGCAAATGATCCATGTGCTCGGTTCATCCGGTCTTCCATGTTGATGGTACTCCCTTCGTAGTCAAAGAATTTCAATCGAAGTAGAAGAATGAGAATTCCGCCTATGATGTCCCTGAAGACACCCAGCTTGCAAACATGGAAAATATCAAGTTGCAAGAGCTTCTCTGGAAATGTGTCATCAAATGGAATTTGTGAAAAAGCTGGTGGATCATCTCCGTTCCAGGGCCGTTCAGTACCAACTGTTTCCAGCCAGCCTGGGGCCTCAGAGAAGTCCTCAAAGAAGCATCCGGGCCCACCTGCTTTGCACAAGTGGCAAATTTCCAAACAGTTTTTGGTCCCGACATGTGCATAGCTTCGGGTGAGTGACATCAATTTCTTTTCAAAGTCAAGGTCGCCTTTGACAGCAACCAATGCAGCAAAAATAGTTCCCTGGTTCGTGTTGATACCTTGATGGAACAGTTTCTGCAAATTCTGACTGATTTCCAGAACCAACTCGTCGATGATATGACTGTGACGTTTGTAGATCCAACCCCCAACACCAAAGAGAAGCCAATGACTCAAGTACGAATGCCCCTTGTAATTGGTGGTTTGGGCACGGGATGCCTGCAAATACTTGGGGTCAACAGCAGCCAAATCAGGTTCAAAAGATGGCAGCCCACTCTGACGATGTGCAAAGTCTTCTCGACAGGTGCACTGGAGGGATGGGTCATTCAAGCTTCCAAAGGGGCTTTGCATGCTAAGAACCCAATAATTTGTTCGCTTCACTGCACGCCCCTCATCGCCATGTATGATGACGGGTGCCACACGGTCCAGTCGTCCGTTATGGTGTTGAAACACGGCATGTCCAGGATGAGATACTTGAAATGTCTTCCAGAAGGACTCAAAGTTTTGGTTGACATCTCCGTGCCATCCCCCCAGTATTGAAGGTTCCTCATTCATCCAAAACTGGAGCCAGGATTCTGGTTTAACATGGTATGTCCTCAATTCTTGAACATCGGCAGTATGACAAACATGGTTCATAGTTTCAATGTCAATCGGAAGTTTGTAGTCCAATCTATCCAGCAATTTGTGCATGTCCCGTGAAGCGTTGGAAGTGTCGCTTCCCACCACCGATGCGCTCAGGGATTTGATCGTTTTTGCAGCACTCACCGCAGTGGCCTCAGTGTTTTATCCCCTTTCATCGAGGTATCTTTCCAACCTCACTGCAATAGGTTGCAATAGACCAGTATCATTTTTTACGATCTATTGTTTGTCATCATAGCTTTATCGTAACTTGTTCAATGGGTTGAGGACCAAACACCATCGCCAAGACTGTCGGCAATGTTGTCCATAAAGTCATCACGCCGTATCGCAGTCCCTGGCATGAACGACATAGCAGTCATACCACTGGACTACATTGAAAACCTCTTGCAGATTGTTTGAGGATACCATAGGATACCATTCCCAGAACTCAAGAGCTAAAACTAAAACGCTCTATTGTACTGTCATACCTGGCTCGAACACACAACATACTTTTTGAATCTTTTTGATCTCCTTTTGTCTCGTCCCAAAGCTTCAGATGCAAATCGCTTGGATTAATCCTGCTATGCGCAGGAGTGGTAAGAAATCAGCCATTTGACTGGGCACCCCAACTTCGGCAAAACGCCGCAGAAGATACACTCATCACAACAGTGGCTCATTGGATGTTTATAAACACCACAAAATCCATAATCATGTGGGTATACCTACATTAATCGGTATGATGGAGCTGCAGCTAATCCGAAGATATATATCCAAAGCAACTGTTGAAAGGATCATTCACTGTTGTTGGCCGTCTTTGCGGCTCTCTTGGGCTGAGCCTTAGGCTTTGCCTTCGCTTTGCTGGCAGCCTTTGCCTGCCGTCGTTGGCGCGGTGGCTTCGCTTCTTGGCTCTTAGCTGGCTCAGGAAGCCTCGACCTAGTGTGCGGAAAAGGGGCATGTAATCACATTGGAAAGGAAGATTTGGCAGTGACTTTCAAGATTGACTGGAAACTCAGTTCCCAACTTGGCAAAATGCTGCAGGGCCATGGATTCCGCAAGCCTCAAAATTTGAAAGATGGCAATCCAGATAGAATGCCCCAAAACTGAATGACACATGCTGGGTCATGCTGGTAAAAGCCCAAGCCTTTTTCGTGCCATGTCCAGCTCGTTCAAGATTTTTTTTTGCAGCCTTAAGCGTCAAGTCAAAACTCAAAACATTGGTATGGTCGTATGAAAATTGATGTTGTGTACACCCCTTCTTAGCAACACTCTGTAGGAGTGAGCCACTGCAATTGTAGTAGACTCCAAAACTTACACACCTCACTGGATTGTTTTCAATTGGCTATGGTCACTGTATCAAATCGAAGAACATGATAGACCGTACGCAATTACAATTGCTTTTCGGGTCGTTCAACTTTTCATCCATGACTTTTCACCCAGTCTCTAAGGAGAAGAATTTTGCTTGCCAACATCCTGTGGATTTACTATGATTTACGAGGCCGGTACCTTTTGCCGACACACGCATGGCCCAAAAATGGGAAGTGGACCTATGGTACTACTAATGATGTATTGTTCCCATTGGGGTCAGTTCACCCAGTACCATTGAAGAATGCGTGTTACTATTTTATCCAACACCCCAAATATAGAACAAAACATAAGATATTATAAGTGATATTATAAAACAAAACTTTTGGGACCTTTTGGGATGTCAAGAAGCTGTCGGGTGAATCCATCCAACACACCTTCTCCATGCTGATCCATAAGTTGCTCATCGTGATGGATCAGACTCTCAGCCGCCTCCTGCAGCTTCCCTTTCATCCTGAGACAGAAAGCGATGGAAGAAGCGACTGATCTACTAATTGGGGTTTGAAGATGTTGCAGTAAAATTGGCCCCAAACATATGATACTTGAGAAATGACAAACACATGGGTTATGTCTTCTTTGTGTCCTATGAGTTTCCCATTAACCGCCCAATTGGGATGAATTGGACCCACACATTGTAATTTGACTAGGCTCCGTTCTTGTAGAGGGGTGAGCCTGTCAACACCTTTGCAAGCCTCGATCATGGCCTCCAACTTGTTAATCTGCCTGTGGATAGCTTGGCATGCCTTAGGAACCATTGCACCTGGGGACAGGTCACCTTCCGCCACGGGAAATCCAATTTTATCCATCTCTCGCTTGGTCTCCTCTGACTCGACCGGCACAGGTGCAGTATCAGAGTCTTGGACTACGTTGCCCAAGCTCAAGCCTGGCCAAGGAGAGAATGACTGGGGTTGGTGGAAAGAACCCATAAGAACGAATAAGAACCCATGCAATAGTTTTATACTATGATTTGCACTGATTTTCATATTATATATTATTGTTTATAAGTTAGTATGTGGTGTGGAATTCAAATCCAACACATTCACCAAATGCCTGGTGTAACCGGTTGGTCTGCAGGCTTGTCTTCCAGATATCCCCAATCCAAAGTGGGAGCGCGAGCGCTAGACTTGAAATCATCTTCCTCCATGTCCTGTTCCTCCTCCCACTCCTTGACCTCCTGGGAAATGTGCCGCTTTGTGTTCCTTAGAATTCAGAATGTGATGCCATGTTAATCTTTCAAAGCCTTCATTTGTCATAGTCATAATCATAGTCTAGCTAAGTCTGAATCCCCAGTTCTACCGATGGAAGAAAGAAAACCTATTGATTCAGGAAGTGGGCCATGATGATTGGTGTTTAATTTGCACCCAAGGCACTTGAGAGATCCTCGGGACCGAATTTCAGTCCAGTACATCATCCCTTCACCATACTTGCTCAACCTCCAGGGGACCCACAAACTAGAACTGCTTTACCCAAAAATGGTTCACATTGTGTGGATAACCTGCCTTTGAAGATGTGGCCGGCTCTCAGTGTAGCGAACGATGCCCTTGATCTTGGTCCTTAGCATTCATGAATTGTTAGCCAATCAATCTGAACAGTTCTAGCATTCTTGATGGTTGATATATTATATACTGGAGGGATTGCCAGGTCAAAGAAAGGTCAACCAGCGACAAAAGCAATCAAAACCTGTGTTGGATGTATAGTATTTACCAAACAAGTGTCTCTGAATAATTGAGCTGTTGCATATCGCCAACAGTCAACCATTCCCCTTCCACTTCCATCACTTCCTCAGAGATCTTCTCGGTGATAGCCTTGCATCGTTTGATGAATCGGTCCTGAAGGGAAAGCTGAAGCCGCTAAAACCCAAACTTGATGGATCATCAGCCCCGCAAAAAGCCTATGTTGTTTGGCAAAAAGCCCAGTAGCCCAAAAGTTGCGCATGGTGGTTGGCTAGACAGTGTTCCACTATGAAACTGAAGTACTTGAACACAACCACTTTTGACCCATTTTTACACAACCCTGTCCCGTTGGTATCCAACTTTCTCAAAAATTGAGTACACTTCATCTCTGCCACCACCTTCGACATCTGCCCATGCTTTGTTCCATCGGTCATCTAATTGGAAGGTCCCATCCTTTCGTTTCTTGAAAACGCGGTGAACGCGCATGTAGATGGCTTTCGTTGAAAGCTCTTCTGGTGGAACGGATTCAACAAACAAATGTTGCTCTGAAAATTCATCATCACTCTCATCCCCAGGAATGAACTCTAATGGTCGTTTCTTGCCAGTTTCATGGTCAAGATCACCCTTGGTAGCCATGGGTTCCCGAACTTTTGGGGCTGGGGCTTCTGGCAAAGGCTTCAAAGCCTCTGATACAACTGCTGGCTCAGCTGCTTCCTCCGGTGGTGTCATGGCTGCATCCTCTACTGTATGTCCTGTCTCTGCTGTCACCGTTGTCTCTGTTGCTTGCTCTGCTGTGTCCTGTGCTGCTGTCGAAAGCTTCCCTGGTGCTTCAGTGGAAACCAAACCTAGCTGAGTTGGCGAAGCCGGTAAAGTATCCATCTGAGAAACCTCGGCACCTGCAGGATCTTGTCGAGCTGCAGACAGGGCCGATGAAGGACCTTCTCCTGCAGTGCCGGGCAAGGAACAACAGAATTTGCTACCAAAGGTTAAGAATTGAATGCCAAGAACACCCATCATCATGTATAAACATTCCAGCTTATCATGTGGTTCAGCTATAGTGTTTGGGGTGGAACATGCTGAACAAGAAAGATCAAAGAAGTTGATTGGAACCCTCAATGAGACATAATGAGACACTCCACATTTTTTTGGGCGGGTTTCTGTCCTTTGGGATCCTTGCCATTGTTCAACATTTTCTTCTCCAGTTCCTGGCAGCAGGGAGCTTGGTGACACTATGATGTACAATACAAGAACATCATTGAACATCAGCAACGCTCTTAGAACAGTTGTGCATAGTGGCAAAACATTCTAATATATTAACCTGGTTGTTGTCGATATATTGGGTGATGCCAGAATTGTGAAACCCCAAGCGACTGCAACCATGATTGAATTTTCTTTGTAAACCATTCATGGAATCTAACTTATGCTCGTGGTTTGAAGCTTCCCAGAAAACCATCACTGTTGATCCAAGACACCAGTAGCCGTCGTAGTTCCTCTTCCAATGCAGCTGGGTCAGGATCAGGCATCTCCGACATTGCCCGACCGGTCTCTTTGTCTACAATGCCTAGCCCTCGGATCAAGGTTTCTGAGGACCAAGTCTTGCTAGCAAAGCTCATACTAGGAATTTTCAAAAGCCACTGCAGCCAAGATCTTACGGTTGTTGAAGTGACAAATTCACTGGACATAGGGTTTGACAAACTGTGATTTTCTGAATCAGTTGAGGCTACTTAAAGTGTGTTTTCATTTGACCCCTACATGTTGGAACGCCTATTCTCGCCCGATCACGCCGTTTCTCGCCTGATCACGCCGTTTCTCGCCCGAGTTCAAAATGCCCAAAAATGCAAAAAAATGCAAAACCAGTTTCTTTCAATTGTCATTTTGGCGAATTTCAAGTCCCCCCAAACGGTCATAAAGCACTGTTTTGAAAGACCTTTTGGCCTTGGTAGCGGCCCCATCAGCAAATGGTAAATTATGAATATTGGAGTGAAAACAGTGGGCACACAAGCTGCTGTGAGCTTTCCCGACTGCTCCAACTGGACCCCTAAAAGAGTAATGGCCGGTAGGCCTCTGGAATTTGGAGCCGCTTGCTGCCCCTGACATACTCATAGAATGTCCACAGCTCAGCGTCGTCCCAAGGATCTCCACAGGGCATGTTCATGAGCAGCTCAAAGACGCTGCAATCCTCGTTGGGCACCTGAGCAAGAGTGTGGATGCTAGTGGGAAGAGCACTATTGTATTGAAAAAAGATATTTGGTCACCACCTCAACTCAAAACAGGGTACCTCTGGAAAGACAGGCGAAGCTTCCAGCAGTTCAGATCGTATTTCCAAGATCTTCCCAACGAACTTGGAAGGACATAGTCTTAGATGCAGCCAAAGCATGTTGAAAAAATGTTGGAAAACAGTTTGAAGAAACCAAAGCTTTCAGCAAACCACCTAAAATACCGAAATAGACATGTAAAGAATACAATGCAATCTAGAAACTGTGTGCCCTTGAGCGCTTTGCCCGTACCTTTGTACCTATCCTTTCCTGCTCTGTCCTTATACTTTTCCGCTGTCTTCACTAGTGACTTATGTACTCCCTTTTGGATAGGTCCAAGGTCCAGCTTCTGAATTTTGGGGGATGTGCTCCATATCAGTGTCCTCTTCAAGCACATGTGCCCCCAGTGCTTCATCCAGAACGCTTGTCTGTAGAGACCTGAGGCAGCAGAGCAGAACGGCAATGTCGAGCCAAGAGGACACCCGGTTCTTAGTGGGTTACTGCATCTTTCGTGGAATGGTTGGCATGATGATGGGTTAAGAGATGCCGCTCTCCCAAAAATACTTTATTTCAGCTAGGGATGGATGGATAAATCATTGGTTTTTGGCTTTCTCGAAGACTGACACCAAACAATTTGAACGACAATTAATAATTTAGCCAACAGGCTGATTCCACGAGCTTTGAGGAGGAAAACCAAATGGCGAAAACGCCCACATGCATTGATGAGCGTTGAAATTGGGTTTTCGAGAATTGGAACTCCCCCGCATGCCACAACCAGCAAAACGATGAGTACCGACCTCCAGGGTTTTTATAAACACCATGGTCAACGTTAACCACGAACAACTACAATATCGATCCAGATTTGATGGGATTTTCAAAACCTAGCCCTAGCCTGCAAAGACCTTTGTTGGCCCTGTAAACTGCCAGTCCAACAGGGCAGCCCTCCGGTAAAAACTCACTTCTGTGAGTGGAACCCCGGCTGATCGACACAAATGTTGAGCAGCAAATGCCCATCAACACCAGGAACTCTTGCCACCGACTTTGCAGCACCAAGATGCAGGCCAACCTGAAGCAGTCGAGGGATGGCAGAAGGAGACCCAACCAAACATGATTTGCAGTCCATTATTCACAAAGAAAGTCTTCCTGTTGCAGTTCACCAAAAATACCAACATGATCGTAATCTTTTTATCATACATGGTGCTTGTGAGGGTCAAGGAACGTAAAGCCACCTGACGTGTTCATGTCCATGGAATTGTTTTTAACTGTGTTGTCACCCTCAGGGTCATAGATCCGGTCCATGCTAGCCGTTGACAAACCTAGACCCTTTGCCAGCTTTACAAGACGCTGCATACAACTCCACCACATGAAACGACTCCTTGTTGAGGTCAACCACGTCCATGAAACCGATCAGGAGAAGTGTGACCAAGAATACCTTAGGTCAGACAAACACAAGATAAGTTCCCGCATCATTCTAATGATGGATGACTCTAAAGATCTCTAAGGCCCTAAGGTGACTCACATGAACAATTTTCATAAATAGTCGTTCAGGTGCTTTGGGAGCCCCCAGGTGAATCATTCTACGAAGTATGTTTTCCATCTTCGGGTGCAAGGGAGGACAAGTATCATGGCCATGTTTTGCATCGCCCATTTCACCGGGTCTGTTTGGCTGACCCCACCGAGCACTGAAGCCTAAATGCTCCAAATTCAAGTTGAAGTCAAATTGAAGTTATGATGCAAAACCCTTCAAAAAATCCATCTTGAGATGCAAAGTTCATGTAGCATGTCAAGCTTTCAGACACGTTTAAAAGAATCAGCCCAAGCCCAAACTTGCCAGGTTCACTGGTCACCCGCTCTGTGTCAACGATTCCGGACCGCATGTACGGCCCCAAGTTGCGACACTTCGCTGGCCGATGTGCCGTCATGCGTGTACCTGGAACAGGGATAGGAGGAGATCCAACCAATAGAACCCAAAAAATGAGGAGTGGATCCTTTTTTTTTTCACCGCAATTCTTCCCAGCAGGGTTGGCGCTAGCTGCCAGGTTCTGACCCCGAATGTATCCAAATATGTAATTTGATTTGGCAATTGCAAACACATGGGCCCTTGGCCACTTGCAGGTTGAAGATTTGTCTAAAACATCCATGCATTGTTGAAATCAACTTTGAATGGGTTTGAGTTCAAAACACCTGCCGCGCTCCAAGTGGCCCTTGTATTAACTAGGCAACCGCTA